AGATGTGCACACACACCATATTACTGTCTATGGCATGTCTACTCTGCTCTCCTTCCACAGCTGGTGTCAGTTTGGTAAAGTCTGATGGTAGAATTGAGGTGAGCACAAGGTACAGTCTGAACGTACCCCAACCGTGCCATTGTGTGTCATACTTAATGCACTTTCTGAAGGGAGCTCATCTAGGTAAATCTTTGCACCAACCACGTCATCATGGGATTGTAGCTTAATTGTGTGAGAGAAGTGGTATGGTCTCGGAATTTGACACTTTTCTTACCTGAAAATGTATTTCCGATGGATACTAATCTCCTCGCACACATTCCCATCCTTCCTTCCCATTTCCAGTGCACTTTAGTATTCCTTACCTCATCAAAGAATGAAGATTCATGAGTGCAAATACATAGAGGGAGTTTGTACACTAGGAGGTGTATCGCCCTCCTATTAGTGGAGGGCTTTTGTTGCATGGTGACATCATCATCCATTAGTGCAATTCAAGAGAAATCTCATGAGATTAGGTGGGAGTTTACTAAGAGCTAGTGGAATGCACATCTCCAAGGCAGATCTGCAGAGGTTAAGTATCTGCTGGAAATACGTTTTCAGTAAGGAAATGTTAACTTTTGAGTTACACTTATGGGTAAGAAACCCCTTTTTTTTCTTCTATACTGTTTGCTCCTGTCAATGTATGGTGTAATATTAAGTCAAATGTACTGTTCATTACTTTGTTTTAAGTCCAACTTAATGTTTTTTATTTAGTATTAAGCCAAGTTTACTGTTTCTTACTTCGTATTGAGTCAAATGTGCTGTTTGATACGTTTTGCTAAGTAATATTTGATTTTTTTTGTTTAGTATTGAGCAAAATTAGATGTCAGTTTCTCAGTATTAAGTCAAAATTCTCGTTTCTTACTTAGTATTAAGTCAGACTTGATGTCTTCCTTAGGATTAAGTCAAACTTGCTGTTTGTTCCCTAATATTGAATCAAACTTGCTGTTTTTTTATTTGGTATTAATTGAGTCAAACTTGCTGTTTGTTCCCTAATATTGAATCAAACTTGCTGTTTTTTTTACTTAGTATTAATTGAGTCAAACGTGCTGTTTTTTTTACTTAGTATTAATTGAGTCAAACGTGCTGTTTTTTTTACTTAGGTTTGACTCAATTAATAGGTGCAGTTTCTTACTTTGTACTTTACGAAAAATAAGAAATAAAACACAAGCAGTACATAGTTTTACATTTAGTGTTTGATACCAACATATTAACCCATACGATACTTATATGAACACAACAAATTACAATTGGAGCAATATAACAAGCTATATTAGCTATTCTTATGGCCCCCCCAGTGGCCCAGTAGTACAACACCATGGCCAAAATGAAAACACAAAAAAACAAAAGAAATCAGAAAATATGTACAAAATGCATTCAAAATACCAAATGATCCATCAATGAACATGTATATCTATAACAAAGTTAAGAATTACATTAACACGAATGAAAACCTGTGCACACCTATCTTTCTGGTTGCATTGATTTAATTTATTTATTTAATTTACCGATTATATATTTCTCTTTTTTACACTATGAAAACAAATATATAACTTGTCAAAATCAAAACAACACATTTGTTAATATCACACCGTCCAAGCCTAAAACAATGGTTATATAATTTGTTCTACATATATATATATATATATATAT